AAACAACCACCAAATGCCTGTAAATGTCTGCAAAACAGGGGGGCGTGGCGGCCCGGCAAACCGCACGGTTCCCTCATAACTATTAACCGCGCAGCCCGCGGGGTGAGTCTGGGGTCTGGAGTCCGGGCTGCGGGCCGCCCGCTTCCACGGCAAATTCATGGCTGATCAGAGAGGGGCCCTGGCCGGCAGCACGCGAGAGTCCGGTCAGCGACACCGCGCTTGCCTGTTTCACATGAAAAAAATCGATTTTACTGAGTCAAAATGTGGACAGAGTCTCGAGACTATGAAAGCACCGTTTCCTAATCCACCTCCAGGAAACTATCAGACTGAATGTCTCGCTATTGCGGGAAAATGGGTGTCTCCGCCCGGAATGTTGCTTGTGAGCGGAACAGCAGAGCCGCAGGGGAAAATGGCAGTTTCAGCCCCGGCTGGCGTAGCTCAGCGGATTGAGCGCAGGCTGGGAACCAAAGCATCGCAGGTTCGATTCCCAGTCAGGGCATATGCCTGGGTTGTAGGCCACGGCCCCCAGCAACTGCACACTGATGTTTCTCTCTCTCTCTCTCTCTGTCTCCCTCCCTTCCCTCTCTAAAAATAAATAAATTTTAAAAATCTTTTTTAAAAAGAGAAAATAACAGTTTCAGGCTTACAACGGCTCTTCCCGGCGGCTCCTCGGACCTGGGACCCACGTGGGTGCCCGCTCTGGGTTTGGTGCCCTGCCGCAGCTGTCTCCGAATTCTCAACAGCTTTCCCTCTGAACCTGTACCTTGTAAGTGCCGTCCACGGGGCGAGGCATCGTGGGAGCAGTGGGTGTGCCTGTGTGCCGTCACAGCGGTGCTCTCAGAGCCCCAGACGCTGGCGCACCCCCCAACCCCACCGCGGGAGCCGTGAGCGGCACCCAGGGTGCACACACCGTAAACCGGCCTCTCGCACCGCTGCAGAAGCCGAGGGCTGAGGGCCCCGGGACGCCGTGTGTTCCGCTGGAACCAGAATTTACTTCCAGGGTAGAAACCCAGCAAAGGCCCGCAGGGAAACACTAAGGGCCGGACAACGCAGCTGTATCCGCAGTTCGTGTCTGTCATCACGGCCCTGCCCAGGCCAGCCACCGACTGGCAGCTATGACAACCGAGGAGAGTGAGGGAGAGACGGGCAGCCACACTTCCCGGTCCTTCCAGACCCCACCCCACCCGACGCCCGGGGCGCCCCGCGGAGGGCGCAGGAGATCACTCGCCCGTCGGCTCCCAGGACTCCGCTGGGCGGCTCCGTCCGGCGTCCCCGCAGCTCCAGAGGACAGAACGCCCCTGCGTGGGAAGCCGCCACACACCACTAACTGCGTGACTTCGGTGGCTCTGCCCGTGAGGCAAATGCTCCTGTAATCCCATCTCAAACTGGCCTTGCACAAGGAGAAGGTGCGTGGTGAAATTCACACCGAAACTGGTGTTGTTAATACTCCTTCACTTAGAATGACAGTAAGCAGTGGACAGAGCCGTCACGGCAACTCGAGAGACAGGTGACGGAAGAGCAGAAACGCGTCACCGCACACGACAGGCTGCTCTGCGTCCTCGGTGGGGGCCCCACCCTGCACCCCGGGTGCCGCCATCCCAAGCCCCTGCCGAGTCCAGGGGCCTGGCTGCCTCGGGGCAGGAGGCCCCTCTCCAGACACCGTGGACATCGCCCTCCAGGCCTCCTCCTCCTCCCTTCCATTGTTCCCCTGATAAGGATCCTGAAGATGCAAAACCAGAAACAGCCCCAAAGAGATCTGCCTAGTGCTCAGCACAGAAAATGCCAAAATCCTTCAGGAACTAGCAGCCTGATAAGAGAAGTTAGCAGCCCTCTCGGGCACGCACGCATGCACACATGCCAGTGTGCCTGCGTCCCTGTCACTAGCCTGTAATTAATTGTGAGTTGTCTCCACGCCGCGTTCCTGTGTGCTGATGACGCTGCCCTGCTGGCACAGCCGCACACCTGCCCCCCACCCCCCCAACCCCCGCACTCCTGGCCCTGCTGCCACACCCCCCGCAGGCGAACTGGGCTCTGCGGGCAGCGGCTCCAGTGGCCGTCCTCTCAGCGCAGGACTCTGTCCCTTTGACCCCCTTTGTGTCGTGGTGACGGACGGAACGATCGTGCCCCCCGATTCCCGTGTGGCAGTGACGTCACCCCAGTGTGACGGCGTCGGCAGGGGCCTTGGGGACCGGCTGCGGTCACGAGAGCGGAGCCCTCACGACCGGGTCTGTGCCTGCAGGTTTGCTCGCACGCACACGCTCGTCTGCCACGCGTGGGTGTCCCGCACGCCGGGTGACGACACGGGAAGTCCGCAGACCAGGAGCAGCCCTCACCGGCCCGGCCAGGCCGGCCCGAGGCCGGACCTCCAGCCTCCAGATGGGAGAACAGGCCCGAGGTGGACGCTGCCCGGGCGGTGGGGCTGCGTCCCGGCCGCCCTGACCTCCGTCCCACGGACTGCACCCAAGACCCTCCCTCAGCCAACACGAGTGTCCCCAGTTCACCAAGGTCTTGTTTTTCATCCTCAGATTCCCGTTACCCCGTTCATGTCCGGGCGGGGGCGGGGGGGGCAGTGTGAATAGAGCCACTGGACGGGGCGTGCACTCGGCTTGTGTGCTACCCCCTGCGGGGCAGGGAGGGGCCGTCTACGTGGTGGTCACCTTCAGCACCTGTGGGGCAGGTTTTCGGTTCAAGAACAGCGGACTTCGGGGACCTGGCTTCTCCCTCAGGTTGCGGCCCCTCCCCCCTCCCCCGGTGTCATTGCCGCCCACCTGTGTGGGCGCCTTCCCTCCTCCACCAACTCGCCCCGCCTGTCCGCTCCCCCCACTTCCACTCTCCCTGAAGCCCACCGGAGGAAGCTGGTCCCAAGGAGCCAGCACCTGGGAGGAGAAGGCAGGGACGGGTGTCGGGTGTCGGGTGTCGGGTGTCAGCCGTCTCTGCCGTCCCACTGGTGGACCCGGGTCTTACCTACCCTCTCTGCCTTGGTCCCCGCATCTGTACGGGCTGGGAAGTACCGTTCCCTCACGGTGCCCTCGGAAGAGTTGCAAAGCCCCGTCACAAGCAGCTGACGTGGGGCTCAGCACGCCGGCCACTGGCTCAGCCGGGGAGGGACGACCGTTTCCGGGGCCCCGGTCCCGTGTGCCGGCCACACGCTGGGAGCTGCGGCCACAGCAGTGAGCAGGACCACGTCCCTCCCGGCCTTCCCGAAGCTGCCTTCCTAGTGAGGGGTTCGGGCATAAGGAACCTCGGCACAAGGCCAATGTCACCCAAGGATGCGTCCTGGGAAGTAAAGACAGTGACGGCAGAGCGTCTGGGGACGGGAAGTCAGCAGACATCTCCTGTCCTCCGAGGAGGCACCTGCGTGAGCCCCACGCGATGCGTGTTTCAGGAACCAAGTCCTGGGCGCAGCATGGAGCACCTCCGAGACCCTCTCACCGGTCAGGGGCGGGCCGTGCCGGAGGGAGAGCGTGCAGTGCATAACCTGGCAGTTAGGGTGAAGGACTCATGCAAGGGTGTTTGCCTCTGCCCTGCAGTTTTTGTGAAACCTCACTTTTCCCTGCATCTTGGATGCTGAAAACCCCCCAGTACTCATTAGTCTGAGACCAAGAACCCGCCGGGACCACCCACCCCAGCGCTGGAGAAGAGAATTCTGTGAACTCCCTGACGCACACCCGCCAACCCCGACGTGGGGGCGGGGCTCGGGGAGAGGAATCGGGCGAGGTCCGCGAGGCGATCGCAAAAGACGGCACACCTCTTCCCGGAGACATGGGCCCTTATCGTAGAAACCGGCTGCACTCCCATCCATACTTTTACCTGAGCGTGTCCGCCCGCCTGTGGGTTCAGCAGGTATTGTCTGCCCTGCCTGCAGCTGCCCCAGCCACCGGCGAGCCGCGGCTCCGTGCCGCGCCTGGCCCGAGACAGCGCCGCCGTCCCCGCACAGGCGGGGCATCCGGGCGGCGGGGAGATGAGCTCACTGTAAAGTGCTGGGAGGTACAAGGCGCCTCATAAAAGGGAAGTTATTATTCTTAGTTACAATACCCTAAAAAAAAGACCTGCCACCCGAGTGGCGGCTGAAGTCTGACTGCAGAATTGCTTAGAACGCCACAATCAGGCGAGGCCAAGTTCAATAACAACTCCATCCAGCATTCACACAGAGAAGGCCCACATGTGCCTTTATTTTATTTTTTTTTAATTTCCTGGGCTTCCGGCCCAGAAATTGGATGGGAATTTCATTTAAACCTGCTCTTGTGTATCGACTTCTGCTAAGTACCAGGCGCTGGGTCGGCTCACGCCGCCACGCTCTCCTCTCCGAGCCGCCCAGGGAGGAAGCAGAACGCCGCCTCCCTCTGCGAGTGCGCCTGTGTACACAGGCCTCACCTGTCCCGACACACAGAGCTGGCTCGCCCTAAGTGTCCATCAGGCCCTGGCTGCCGTGGCTCAGCAGACTGAGCGCCCGGCCTGCGAACCAAAGGGCCGCTGGTTCAAGTCCCAGTCAGGGTACAAGCCTGGGTTGCGGGTCAGGTCCCCAGTAGGGGGCGCGCGAGAGGCAACCACACACTGATGTTTCTCTCCCTCTCTTTCTCTCTCCCTCCCCTTCTCTCTAAAAGAGAATAAATAAATCTTGAAATAAATAAACGTCCATCAGCGCTCTTACCGATTTAGAACCACCGCCCCCCCCCCCATCAGCCGATGCTGCCGCCACTGCAACCGGACTCCGAGCCCACGAACGCCCTCCCGGCGGTGACCCGCTTCCACCAGCACCGGCGGCCTGAGTTTGGAGACGACTAGCGGTTGGGCGGGCGTGGCGAGGGGTCCAGGTTTGGGTCTCCCTCTATCGTGTCTGCCGTCTTCCCCCGTCACTCCCCAGCCCGGGGCCAGCCCCCCACCCTCCCACTGTTGGCACCAGACAGGGCGTGGGTGGGTGCGTGAGAAGACAACGCATCGCGAGACCCCGCCCTGGAAACGCCGAGGAGGGGCTCCCGGGAGGGAGGTGGGCGGGGCCGTCAGGGCGCCCGCTCGGCGCGCAGCTGGCGCGCGGTCTGCAGGTCGTGTCTCCGTGCCTTCCGGAACACGCCGCCGGCTCTGCCCAATAAAACACCCGTCACACCCGGAGTGGGGGGGGGGGTTGGCAGCAGGTTCGCAGACTGCGAGCAAAAGGATTATTTACAACTGCCCATGACGAGGGGAACGGCCGTAAACCACCTTTCCTCCCTGTTCCGTCTCTTTCTTTGGCTAAGTGGAGAGGCCGTAAGGAGCCCAAATTTACTGCAATTTAATTCTGATGGGAGAAAGCCCATTATTTTTATTTATAGTAGCGAGCTCTATCTCACCTTGCCTCCCCCCATTAAAACTTAAATCACCCGTGTTTTTTTTTTAATGCAGCCACTCTTCTTAAAAGGAAGAACGGTTCCCTGACACCGTGGGAGAGGATTGAGGCGGCCAGCCTTGGAGACGGTCCCCGCGTGTCCAGGCCAGCACCGCGAGCTCCGAGGAAAGAGCTCACCACTGCCCCCTGGTGCTCAGGCCTGGGGAGCCGGCCCTTCCCGCCCGCAGCCAGGACGGGGGCCCAGCAGGCCCCAGGCGCCTCCCGGCGGTGCAGCACCCTGCATCCCTCCGGCCTGGGTTCTACCTCTCGGCTGTTAAACCCTGGAGGAGAGGTTTTCCAGAAGTTCAGGTTCCGTTCTGAGTTGCGGGGGACGAGACGGGAGCCCTTTGGGAGGCGCGAGCTAGACTGAGAGGGCGTGGTCAAACCGCAGCTCCCCTTCCAGGCCCGCCGGGCCTCCTGGGACCTCCTGGGACCTCCTGGGACCTCCAGGTCGCCGCCCTGGCTGAGGGGGCGTCCCTGCAGCAGGGGGACTCAGGGAGGAGAGGGCCGGGGGCACAGCGCGGGGCTCTCCCTTCTGGTCTAACTAAGCGACCTCGTAGGCCTTTTGCTATGAGCTCATGATACATTTTCAAAACGCTGACCCCGAGGAGGAATGTACTGACAGAGAAGGCTCGGAGCCCAGCACCCCAGGGTCACAGGTGCCACCTGCATCCCGGGGCACCGCCTCGCACACCTGCAGCCAGCCCCTGCTGCGTCCGCCCTTACAAGGGGGTTCCTGGAATCCCCTTCCAGGAACCAATGGGCGGAGACCCGCCCGGCCAATCCGAGCTGAGCAGCCATGCCCTCATTTGCATCTTTCCTGAGCAATCCTGACAGCTCCATAATGGCCAATCAGAATATGTGATCCCAATCACCACAGCGTATTTAGGGCACACCCTGCAAATGTGGATGCCTCATTTGCATCAGAATGGACCAATCAGGGACGGGGGCGGGGTGGGGGGAACACTTTGTGCACGGGGCCTCCCCTCTGTCCTCCAGGGGCTGTGTTTTCCTTTTGCAAATGGTGCACCTGAATCCAGGTCCTGTTTGCACCGCCCCCGTGATTGGGGGGCCCGTGTTCTCATTAGATGGGTGGGAGTCACCCTTTGTTGACAGAATGCCAGAGAACCCCACAGCTCAGCCCCTGTTCGGTGTTCCTGCCAAGGACGGCTGTTGGTACCCTGCGAGGTCCTTCTGGAAACTGCGAATGCGGAGCCAGGCACGCACACACCCGAACCAGCCTCCCCCTCCTGACAAAACCCCCAAAAGCCACGGCAGGCCAGTGTCCGAGTCCCAGCCGCCCCCCAATGTTCCAGGGCTCGTCCCCAGGACACTGGGGTCACACCCCCACCCGTGGACAGGTAGGTGGTCTCCGACAGACGTTGGGTGACTGCCGGGGCCCCGCTATTCACGGCAAGGGCCAAGGCTTCCACCGGCTTCGCTAAGGTCGGGGCTCCGCCACAGCCGCTGTCTGGAGTTGTTTGGGACAGTAGAGGTGAGGACGCCTCCCTTGGAGCAGGAGGAGAATTGGGGTTAGCCTCAGAACTGACGGCTGGCAGGCCGGGGCAAGTTAATTTCCTCCTCGCTAATCCAGGGACGATCAGAGATCCAGGTTCTCGGGGGAAAACCCCAGAGCAGACGGGCCGCCGTCCCGCCGTCCACTCCCGGGGTGCACAGCGCGCCCGCAGGACTGCCGGCTTTATCACTCACACTGCGGTCCCCGCGCGCGGCTGGGTGCCATCCCCGCCTTTAACCCCCGCGCTCCCTGGACAGCTGTGCGCGCCGGAGGCCTCCCGGCGGCGACACGCTGCCCTGGGCCCTCCAGCGCCACCACCTCGGGCCCTGCAGGCCAGACACACTCGGGCTCGCAGAGCTTTGGCGCGGCGTGGGGCGTCGGTCTGGTAGGGAGTGAGAGGAGCTGGCGGGGAGCGTGGGCACGCCGGGGGGCGTGGGGATGGGAGCACGGGGGCCGAGGCGCGAGCGCACTGGGGTGTGGGGCTGGGAAAGGGGGGTGGGCATGGGGTCGGAGCCTGGAGCGCGTTGGGGGCGTGCGGCGTGGGTTACGGTGGGGCGTGGGCACGGGAAGCGCGGGGGCCCGCAGGACACGGGCACGCGGGACGCGGAGCGTGGCCCCGCATGAGCCGCGTGGGGCAAGGGATCCGGTGGGGCGTGGGAGCACGGGGGCGGGGCGCGCAGGGGGCGTGTGTTCTGGCGGGGCGTGGGCGCGGGGCGCTGGGCGTGGGTGCACAGGCGACGTAGGAGCACGAGGGTCGTGGGCGCACGGGGGCGGAGGCGGGGCGTGGGCGCCGGGCCGGGTTGGCTGCTCATCAGCTGCTCCGCGAGCCCTCCCCCAGCTCTCCACCGCGGCCCCGCCCCCAGCCGCGAGGAGCGGCCGAGACGCCGGCAGCAGGACCGCGGCGGCGGCAGACACACACAGCCCGGCTGGCGGGGCCGGCGCGCAGCGGGAAGGGCGCGCGGAGGCCGCGGGTCCAGGTAGGTCGGGAGGTCCCTCCTGGAGCCGCCGGGCAGAGCGGATGCGCGGGCCCCCAGGCCCCTGGGCTCCAAAGTTTGGGGAAGACCAGGCTTCTCGGGCCGATGTGCTTCGGGGCGCTCGTGTTCCCTTCCAGCGAGGGCGGTCTCGGGGTTGAAAGGCTGGCGTCCGGCCCCAGCGGGGGACCTGCCCGCCCGGCCTTGCGACCGGCCCTGAGCGCCGCCGTTGACCGGGGAAAAGTTGGGGGGAAGTTGCGGACCCTTGGGACGCGGAGGGGGAGTCCCCGGCCTGCGGTCGGAGCGGGGAGGTGACGGCGGCGCGCCCGAAACCCCTTCCCGCCGGGCTCCGGGGCCGCCGGGCGCAGACCCCGCTCCGGAGACCGAGTTCTCCGAGCTCCCAGACCCGCGCGCGGCGGGGACGGAATCCCTGTCGCATTCATTTGCGGGGTTTCCTCTGACCGGCTGTGGTCGGGGTCTCCTGAGCTCGGACCCGGGTCGGGGCTGCCGCTCCGCCTCAAAGGAGCCCCACAGGGCGCCCCGCGCGGGTCACCGAGCGCCGGCGGGGGGCGGCCGAGCTCCCGGGTCACGGCGCGGCGGGGACGGCGCCGGCTCCGCTGGTGCTGTGCTCCGCAGGACCGCCGGCCCCGCGCCCTTGCCCGAATTGCATTTGCTCATTGATTGGCACTCAGGACAGGCGCCCACGGCGTGGTTTAATAATAAACGGTGCCGCTCCGGCGAGGAGAGCCGGTTCCCCGCCGAGCCCTGGCGAGGGGGCTGCCGGTCTGGTCCCCTGCACCCAGAACCGAGCCGGAGAAAGGCGGGCAGGCGGGGCGGGGGCAGGGGCCGCCGGGTGTGCGCCAGAGGTCAGGGGCCCCGGCCCATCTGGTGAGTAGGTAAACCCAGAAGTCGTCCAAATGATGAAGCGAGAATAACTAAAAATACTGGGGAGACTGCTGGCCCTGGCTTCTGTCTGCCCCCACAGAGATGAATATCGCACTGGCTGCAAAGAACCCTGATCTGTAAATAGATTAAAAGCAGGAATTAATCAGAACGGTGAGTCAGAGCGCTTCAGACTGGAGGGGGGCGAATGCGGCGACAGTGCTAGGAAGTCTCGGCACCGGAGTCCGTCCGACGCGGGGCCTCTGCTCCGGGGCCGAGCCTGGTGGCAGAGGCATGACTTGGGGGTGGCCTCCAGGGGTGCCAGGCTGTGGCTTGACCCTTCCCGGGTCGTGGGGCCCGGGAGGAAGTTGCAGGTGACCAGTCCTGGCCACAGGGACACCGCTTGCAAAGCGCCCACTGCGTGCCGGCCCCTGGTCGCAGTGGGGCAGGTTCCTGGACGTGCCCCCAGAGGACGTCGGGTGGGGCTCAGCCTCGCTCGCGGAGGGGGGACGGTGTGTAACCGGTGACAGCAGAGCGTCGGGAGTCTCCGAATGGCAGCTGGGGGTCCGTTGAGAAGGGGCGTGTGGTCTGAGGACCCCTGAGTGGGTCAGCACCCACCGGGGACGGAGAGCAAGTGGCTGTGCTGCCCTTAGGCCAGTGCCCGGGTCGGGCGCGTGTGTGGGCGTGTGGGTATGTGGGGGGGCCTCCTGTCGAAAGCTGGGGTGGCTGAGACAGTGCGCGACTAAGTGACACGCAGGCTGACAGATTCGGGCAGCTGCTGCCTCGGACAATAACCTTCCTTCAGCCCCGCGGCCCCCTGGCTGTGGGTGTCGTCAGTGTTCGCCTGAGCTCACCGAGGCCTGCCCTTCCTTTCCCTGGGAGCGGTCTAACTTTCAAACACCCTCGCGGCAGTCCCACAGCCCAAGTGCTCCTTACCAGGCCCACAACGCCCGCACCAGCACCGGCGCACCGAGCCCTTCCCCGGGGGCCAAGGCCCGCGGCGGCGTGCTGGGGGTCACGGACGCGCGGCCCCTGGGCCGTGCCGGCGGCACCGGTGTCCGTCTCATCGGCGAGCGCCACACTCGGGGCGTGTGCCCCGGCTTGGCTTCTCCCGCCTCGTGTGACCGTCCGCCTGGAAGTTTTCATCAACTCCGCGTCTGTTTTGTGCTGAAACAGGATAGAAGGATCATTGCGCCTTTTCAAACTGCCAGGTGTCTGTCTCGGAGCCGCCGCGAGGCCACCCGGCACGGAAGCCAGGCTGTGTCTTCCGGTCCCCGAGGGGTGAGCTGTTAGCGGTGAGATAATGTGACTTGTGTGCATTCGGGAGGCACGCGGGTGGCAGGGGGCTTGCCGGCACCGTGCATGTGCCCGCCCGCCCACCCCGAGTCACCTGCAGCCCACCCACCTCCGAGCCTGCTGAGCGGAGGAGTTCCTCTGTCCCCTCGAGGGTGAGCGTTTCTGAGGCGACCGCTGCTTCTCGACACCACTCGAGAGTCACCTGGAGCGGGGGGACCAGCCCCTTGTGCCTGAGGACCGGGCGTTCAATAGCATCGTTTTTGCAGAGCAGTTTGGACGTGCTGGGCCACAGCTCGCTCAGGTGTGTTGAAGTGGAGGGGGGACGGATCTCAGCTCCAGAGGCGTTCACGTGTGCTGGCCGGGCTCTGGGTTTTTGTCCTGGCCCCCCCGTCCCTTCCCCACCACCCCCAGCCGCCCCCCTCCCCACAGCTGCCTCCCCACACAGTAGCTCATGCCTTCAGAAAATGTGCTGCAGGAGAAAGCTCCCCCTGGCTGAGACGCTGCATGCTGAGTTTGAACCTTGGTGCTTTCTACCCCCCCCCCCCCCACTCCCCCCACCCCCCTCCACTCCCCACCCCCCCCACTCCCCCACCCCCGCTAGCGCACAGTACACGCAGGAAGCGGGGCTTTCTCAGCGGGGTGCTAGCGGGACTCGATAGCCTCAAACGGCGCTGCTAGTTGGAATGTAAATATTTGTGGAATCGTTACTGTGCGAGAAGCTGCCTCGCCAAAAAGTGAGAAAGAGGGACTGTTTTATTAAGTAGGATAAAATAACCCCGACGGCACGCGCGCGCCTGACTGCAGCCCTGGGCGTCGCGAGAGATCTGTCCAGCGGGACCGGCGGCTCCCTGCACCCCCCGGGTGCCCCCGAGAGGCTCAGACTGTAAATTTCCTGGGTGCTGGAGCGGGGGAACACACCTGCTCTGCTTGTTTGCTTCTCTCGCGAGCTGGCTTTGGACTGCCTTCCGGGCTCCGGGATGAAATCTGTAATTCAAAACCAACTTTGATTGTATTGCTGATCGATGAGCCCGTCACCCGGCCCTTTCTGCCCAGATAAAGAATTCTCGGGCCGGTTCCAACGCGCCTGACGCTCTTATTTTGGGAACTGGCACAGCTCTGAGCTCCCGTGTCCTTTCGGTGCTCAGGCTGACAGTGTCTCCGAGCCGCCCTCTTCGCTCCGTCTGCGTCTCCGCTCGCGTCCTTCCGCGCACGGCCGCCGCCGTCTCCCCCGGGCCCCCTGCGCAGGCCCCCTGCCCCTCTCCCAGCTTCCTCCTCCCCCAGATCCTTCTCTGCACAGTGGTCACAGCAGCATTTTTAAAAAAATGTACGTTAAATTACTGTTTCTCTCTCCAAAGCTCTTCAAGGGCTTCCTGTCGCTTTCTGAGCTATTAAGCATCACCTGCAGGGCCGTGAGGGTTCCAGCCCCTGGAGCCCCCCCAGCCCCCCTCACGCCGTGCTCTGTGGAGTGGGAGCTCCGTCCGCTCTTTCCCGTCCGAGGTTCCATTGACCTTCCTCCACCACAGGGCTCAGCCTGCCCTTTGCCGGGGTGTCCCCTCCGGCCTTTAACCCCAAGCACACAGACAGGGGCAGACACACGGGGGTTTCCACAGCTGCTCCCCCCTCCGGCCACGTGTAACTTAAACACGTGACTGGGACGGCCTTCTCCACCCCTCCTCCCCCTCCTCCTCCTCCCCCTCCCCCTCCTCCCCCTCCTCCCCCTCCTCCCCTCTGAGCTCCTCTCTCGGGCTCCTCTGGTCGTCCCCAGCCAGGGCCATCACTCGCCCGGTTTCCTTCCTGGTTCCGTGTTCGCTGCCCTGTAAGCCTCTGGCGTGCATGCAGCGACCACCTCTGTGCCGCCACCCCGTCCTGCACGGCCGCGCCGGTCACAGCCCTGGCTCCCAGGGAGCTGCGGTGAGCCCCCCAGAACTGTGCTGTGGGAGGTGCTGAGTCTGCAACTCCGGACGGAGGCGCCTGTGACGGAAGACGCTGGGGAGGCCGCCCCTGCTCCTCAGGAGCCCGCAGCCCAAGTTCACGGGCATCCTTCCTGCTGCGTTGCCCACGGTCCCCTGGCGCCCCCGAGGGTGCCCGACACCGGCCCGCTGTGTGGTCACGGCCTCACGCATGCTCCCGAGCGGGCCCTCCTCTGGTGACCGTGTCTCTCTGCGCGTTCACGCGCGCTGTGGTCCTCGAGCTTGTGGCCCCGGTGGCCTGTGGCAGCATCCTCTCCCTTTGTCCCTGGAACCGGTCAACGGGGTAAAAACACAAGGACATTCGCCGGGGGTTTCCTGCGCCAGCCCCGGCCTGAGCCCGGGGCCCACACTTTTCTGACTCTGTGCGGGGGGTGAAGACTCCCCTGCCTCCTGCCCCGCCGCCCGCCGGGGCTAGCCTCCCTGAGGGGGGTCAGGGTGAGTCCGTGAGCCCCATGCCTGGTGCTGGGGGACCCCCGCTGCCTGGAGAAACAACCCCCCGTGGACCCCTGCTGGCCGCCGGGGACCCTTGCGGCTCCCCCCACGTGCCCCTCCGCTCACTCTCCCCTCTGCCAGCAGAGCTCCTCACTTCCGATCCAACCCTTGCCCGGTGACCCCGGCTCTGCTCCCTGCCGGACAAGGCGTGAGCCCCCCCCCTCCCCCCCTTCTTGCCCCCCCACCGTCTGCGCTTCCTGGGCAGAGGCCGCGTGGGTTTGCGCTCCATGAGGGTCGCCTACTCGTTCCGTCTCGGCGGTTCCTGCCAGCCCCGGGGCGGGGCGGGGGGCGGGGCAGGGTGCACACCCGTGAACGGAAGAGAGTCCGACCCCTCGTTCACAGGAAATTCCACTGCAGTTGTGTTAGGCCTTAGCACCGTTTTCTTGGGCTGGAAGTTACTTGAGTGGATAAGCTTGAAGGTTTTATTCTGCACGTTTCTGGGTGACAGACGGTAATTGCCCGCAGGTGAATGTGCCCCCACGGTGTGAATCCGGGAAACCCAGCGAGCAGCAGCGCAGACGCGCTCCGCGAAGTCCGAGCGCGGGGTTGGCGCGCGGAGGGCGGGGCCTCGGAGCAGCCGCCTCGTCGCAGCGCGAGGGGCCGTCTGCAATTCTCGAGCCCCTCCTTCCGTGGGAGCGCAGCCGCCGCGGGTGGGAGCCGTGCCTGAGTGACTGGAAAGCCAGTCGGCGCATCGCCTCAAAGGTAACCACGACGGCGTGGAAACGGGGCGGGGGGGGGGAGGCCCCGGCAGTTGCCCCTCGTCCCCAAGGGGCGGGTTCCTCCGATGTCACCGGAAAGGCCCCTCCCCCTCCGCCGCCGCCGCCCCCCACCCCCACTGGCCCGTTGAAACAGTGGGCGTTCCCCGGCCCTTGCAGGGTTTGCCGAGTTGTCGCTGGTGTCAGAGTTGGTAAACTTACATTTTTAAAGTTTTGACCAAAAAGTCTGTATGTTCTTTTTCTGTAAAAATAAAAGACACAGTTTTCATTTTTACCGATAACTTTATTGATTTGGATGTTTTGAGTACATCGGCTGTGTCCCACCTGGTAGAACATGGATTGTTCTGAGTTAGTGTCTCGATCTGGTCGGCGTCCACCTCACCTGGTCGGCCGACCCCCGGGCACCGCCCAGCGAGGAATCTCCCGCAGGAAACTGCGCAAACCACTTACTACACATTCGATCAGTCACAGCCCCTTCTCCTTACGCAGCACGAATCTTTCTTTTTTAGTTTCAGTTGTGTTTTTAGCTGTCTTGAAACAGTAAAGCATAACATGTTGAAAATGTTGTGTATTCCAACTTCAGGATAAAGTGGCTACACAAAAACTCTCCCGTTTTGATAAGTTTTTGTCAATGCACTCTGATCCGACAGCCGTCGCAGTGCAGTCTAACAAAACTGTTTCGAAGGAAGTTAAAGACCACTGTGCACTGCTAACAGCCACCTTCGGGGAAAAACTTGTGGACCCTTTGGCCAGCCTGGTAAAATGGTAACACGGGAAGTCACAGAAGTAGCACAGGGAGCCCTGTGTCCCCTTCATGCCACCCCCTGTGGCAAGTCCTCCTGCGGTCACAGGTTCACGGCAGACAGCAGACGCCATTTGTCACCTTTTTTCACCCGAGTGTGTGTGTGTGTGTGTGTGGGGGTGGGTGTGGCGTGGGTGGGTGCAGCTCCGTCCCGGGTGCAGACCCGTGCACCCAGGGTGGTACTTGCAAGAGCAGATGTCCCGGCAGCGGGCGTGCGTGTCTGCGCACACTGACGGTGTGTTTGAGTGGGCGTCTTCGAGGTTCCGAAATCCCACCTCCCTCGGCCTTTCTTCCTGCAAATATTTGTCTGGTTGTTCTTAAACAGCGTGATCGCCTCTCCTTGGAGAGGCCTGCCTGTGCATGTTGCTATGGAAATGGGAGTGTTGGCATTTTACAGACCAGGAATGTGACATCCCGAGACTCTCGGTGGCCACCGGCTTGTGCGTTTGTGCTGGCTTTCCGCACCACCTTTCAAAGCTCGGCGGGAAACACATGTTTGTCTTTGAGTCAGACCCGGACGGGGGTCCCATGCCCCTCAGGCCAAGCCTCGGCCGGTGCCTCCTTGCACTGTCTGACCCACACCGGTTTCTGTTTCTTACACAGAAACGGCCCCTCTTGTAGGTATAACTCTGCACTCGGCAGGGGATGGTGGTGACCCTTTCTGGGCGATTAGAACCGACTGGAACAGCGGCACTGCACCCGGGGCCGACGCTGAGCCTCGCTGGGCACTCGGGGCGGCCCAGTGGCTGATGGCTGGTCACTGTGAGGAGCCTATGAGCATCCGTCGGCTC